TCTGCCCCCGCTGGTGGGTGCGGGACACTCGCAGCCCGGAGGGGGCCCTCTCGCCTTGAAGTGCGGCGGTCAGTGGTCGCAGCAGTGGGAGCGGCCCCGTCCGCGGCCCTGCTGGACTTTCTGGTTTCTTTTCCCAAAATGGCAACGGCTGAGCATTCTGGATTCGCCGCAGGCCAGACGCCCCTTGGAAAGGGCCTGGCCGCAGAGGCGGGGAGCGGTCCAGCGGGCACCCCACCGACCCGAGCGAGGGGCCCAGGTGTGCGCCCCGGGCAGGCGCACTCGCCCCGCGCACGCCGGTGCCCAGCGAGGGAGCCCCGGCCCCTGCCTGTCTTCCCTCTCCTTCCACACCCGTCCCAGGTCTGCTGTCCCGCAAGTTCCCCGGGGCAGGCGGCCGCGCGGTGCAGCCGAAATTCTATCCAGGCCACGACCTTTCCCCCAGCACCCGGAGCTCAAGACCCCGAGCTTATTCTACAAAAAGAGAGGGAGAGTGGCCCGCAAACGCGCCCCAAAGGGTGTCTAGAAACAGCAGGAAAAAGCGCGGTGCGGTGGGGATCTTTCTGTACTTACTGCAGTCCGCGGGCTCCACTCCCCGGAGAAAGCGCTCGCGACTGCGCCCCAGCGCCCGCGGCCCGGATTTAGCAGGTTCCAGAGAGGGTGGGGCTTTCCCAGGGCGGAGCTGTTCCTGAGTGTGTGTGCGCGTGTGCGTGTATGTGTGCGTGCGCGCGGTGTGCCGGTGTGCGTGCACGCGTGTGTGCGTGCGTGTGCGTGCGTGTGTGCGCGTGTGTGTAACAGCCGCCCATCGGAGCCCTGCGCGGTGGTACTGTACCTGCACCGGTGTCCTAACTGGGGACCCGGCAGAATGCTGCTGCGCGGGAAGAGCGGTGGCCTCAGGTAGGCAGGTGTGAAGACAGGGCCCAGTGCTGGCTCTGGTCCCGGCTCTCCCTCACCCCCTCAGCTTGTCTGGCATCCATGCTTCCTCCCCGGTACCTTCCAGGAGCCAATTCAAGCCTCACCTCCTCTGCGGCCCTTCCAGACCCTTCCAGGTAGGACTGAGCGCTCCTGCCACTGAGGGCCCGGCCTTCGCAGCCCTGCAGCATCCAGCCCTAGACAGGTCCTCTCCCAGGCTCCAGATGAGTTCTAAGGAAGAGGCTTTGCACAGAGCAAAGCCCCAGCTTTTTTTTTTGACCACTCTGGTTTGAAACCAGCCTCCCCCACTTTCTAGTGGTGCAGCTTTGAATGAGTTACTTAACCTCTTTCTGCCTAAATTCGCCCCTCTGCAAGACAGGGGATAAGAATAGTGCTTTGTGAAAAATTAAAGATTTTTAATGAATAAAATGTGTTAATAAATGTCAAATGTTTTCTTCTAGCACGGGCGGGTGGTAGTCTCAATAAATACTAGCTCCCAGTAACAATCTTTTGACCACCCCATTGGCCCTCAGTCAGTCCCAGGCAGCCCGCACTGTGTCCCATTCAACTATACACCCCCAGCTCCTAGCCCAATCCTTGTCAGTCATGTAATGTAAATAGTGAAACGGCAAAGGTGTTTAGATACCTTGAAAACTTCCCCTTAATTTCCTCCATCACCCTCTCCGTAAGATAACCAAAGTTACCAGGGCAGTATTTACCCTTCTCCATAACCATCCAGACATATACCTACAGAAGGTTGTTTCTCCCTGTTTTGACAAAAAATGGGATCACTCTAAAGATGCTACTCCGAACCTCTTTGTCTGATTTAACATCATGGACATCTCTCCAAGGAAACAGACACAAATATAACTTGTTACTTATATAGTTCATGGGTAACATTCCATAATTTGGGTGTGTGGTAACTTACTCCCCAATGTTGAGGTTGTTTCTGGTCTTTCTAGTCGTGTTTTGCTTTGTCATTATCAACAGGGCTGTGATAAGCATCCCTGTATGAAGAGCTTTACATTCTAATGCTTTTATTCCTATACGCTAGTTTCCCAGAAGTGAGATCGTTAGATCAAAAAATGTTTTTAATGTACTAGGATGAATCATATGAAACTCGATACTCAACCACTTTGACCTAAAGAAATAGTAATTTCATAAAGTTAGACTTAATATAGTGTCAGATTACATTCCAAAAATATTGCAGCAATTTACAGTCCTATCATCAATGTATAAGAGTTTCCATAGCCTAAAGCCAACCTCAGGACTGATGTTACTGTTGTAGTCACCGTTTCCCAATCTGATGCGTGCAAATGGACGTATGCTCTCCTTCAGTGCTGAGACCAAGGACCCAGATCTGACATTCACATCTGTACCCTCACACTTACCTGTATCATTTAGGATATTTATTCTTTCTTTTTTTTAAAAAAAAAATATATATATATTTTTATTGATTTTAGAGAGAGAGGAAGGGAGGGGAGAGAGAGAGAGATCAATTGGCTGCCACCTGCATGCCCCCTAATGGGGATCAAGCCTGCAACCCAGGCATGTGCCCTGACAGGGAACTGAACCTATGACCTTTAGGTGCTTGAGATGAGGCTCAATCAACTGAGCCACACAGGCCAGGGCTAGGATATTTTTTCTTGCAAGTTATACAACACTCATACTGGATTAAAAAGGAAGGCAGATTTTATTGGTTTGTGTGACTGGAAAGTCCAGAAGTAGGATGCACTTCAGGATTAGTCCAAATCATGACCTGGCATATTTCATCTTGACACACTGCTTTCTGTGGCATCAGCATAATCCTAAGGCTTGCTTTCCTCATGGTGACAGAATGGCTGCAGCAACTTACTAACCTAAAAGAGAGAAAAATATCCATATTCCCAAATTCCTAGCAAAAGTCCTCCATCTGTCATTGATTGGACTGTCTCTAAACCGATCTCTGGCCAATTAAAGACTGAAAAGCTTAGGTCTTGGTTACCTAAACCAATCATGTGGCATTGGGAATGAAATTCCTTTTTTCTCTTTGCCAGGCTTTCACTGAACAAGGCACTAAATGAAAGATTGAGAACTTTAAGAAAAAGACTTCTTGGTTTTCTATTTAAGACAAGGGTAAGTTATAATCAGATGTTAGACACAGTATTGTCAGTTTAGCAGGAAAGTTTTGTTGGCTTCAAAAGCTTTCAACAAGTCGGGTCCCAGGCGCTTCGGGAGCTGTGGGCTTTGGTACAGACATGGCCAAGTCAAGAACCGCACTGTGCACAACCAGTCCTGAAAATGGCACAGAAATGGCATCAAGAAGCCCCGACCACAAAGATATGAATCTCTTAAGGGGGTAGATCCCAAGTTCCTAAGGAACATGTGCTTTGCCAAGAAGCACAACAAGAAGGGCCTGAAGAAGATGCAGGCCAACACCGCCAAGGCCATGAGCACACACGCCGAGGCTATCAAGGCCCTTGAAAAGCCCAAGGAGGTCAAGCCCAGGATCCCAAAGGGCAGCAGCCACAAGCTCAGTCAACTTGCCTACATTGCTCACCCTAAGCTTGGGAAACATGCTCGTGCCCGCATCGCCAAGGGCTTCAGGCCCTGCTGGCCAAAGGCCAAGGCTCCAACCACACCCCAGGCTGCGGGTGCAGGTGCAGGTATAGCTCCAGCTTCGGCTCAGGCTCCGGCTCCCAAAGGTGCCCAGGTCCCAGTGAAGTCTCCCCAGTAAGCTGGCCAGGCTTAGCTCAGTGGTTGAGCATTGACCTAGGATCCAGGAGGTCGCGGTTCGATTCCCGGTCAGGGCACATGCCCAGGTTGCGGGCTCGATCCCCAGTGGGGCATGCAGGAGGCAGCTGATCAATGACTCTCTCATCACTGATGTTTCTCTCTCTCCCTCACCCTTCCTCTCTCTGAAATCAATAAAGATATATTTAAAAAAAAAAAAAAGTCTCCCCAGTAGAGGCCTCTGTCTGCAGAAGTGAGGACAGAAGGACTGGTGTGCCCCCTGGGCTGCTGTCTGCATGGATGTGGTGTCCTCCTGTGCTATTTGTGCAAATAAACCTTGGGGGGG